GTGCAATGAGTTTCATGTAGACTTGCAACACTGGTGACTCCTTTCTAAGAGTCTAAGTCTCTTGTCTTGATGATTTTGGGGGAATGATTATAGAAACATCAGTCACTTGTTTCTATAAATGTTTTATAATGCAAATTGAATGTGATAAAATATTAAAAATATCATTCATTAAATATTGAAAAGTTCAGTCTCTGCAACTGGCCACATCTCTTCATTCTACTGCCAGCTTAAAGGAGCAGTTTAGAAATTTTGAATTATAAAATGAGAATGCTGAGGGGGTAAAAGATGTGTGAACATAGTTATGAGGTTATATTTCCCCTTGAAGCGTTAACATTCTCAGTGTAAACCTTCCCCTGAAGGTGGCAGGTCATGTGTTCTGTCACTGGCCTTTCTGGGTTTTCTGTGCCTGGTTTTTTGCACTCCTCTGGGGTTAAATGAAGGCAATAGATTCATTTAGTTTAAGCCAAGAGCTTTACAGGCTCACATATTGAGGTAATCTCAGTTTTATTACTGTTGTACTTGGAATTTTGTTAATAAAATCTCAAAGTCTGAAAGTAGATTGAAATAAAATGCTGCTGTGAATAGCAAGTCAGAGTAATAGTTTGTGTTTTGAAATGAGATCTTGGGCTCTCTACCATGTGAGGACACTGTGAGAAGCAGTTAGCTACCAGCCAGGAAGAGAGTCCTTACCAGAGTTTGACCAGGTGTGACCCTCTGACCCAAAACTTTTAGCTTCCAAAATCTGGGAGAAATAAGTTTCTCTTGTTTACCTTTTTAAAATGAGACTGATGACAAACAGTGGAATGTTCAGCATACATATGTCCTTTAAAATGGCCTGTTTGATCACTCCAGGTGAGTCTCAGCCTACATGTGTCATGATTACTTCAAGGGTACCTAGGGAGGATGCTGAGGTCCACAGGCAGGTGAAATGTGCAGCCGGGTGCAGAATGGAGTTCCCCTTAGTTCCATGGAACCAACCCTCTTGGACTGAAGACTGGGCCATCCTGCATGCGGGGATTTTGCAAACAATGCCACCAGCCATCCCTGCTTCTGTGCCCTCCCATCCTGGTGCTGTCATGGGTACAGCTGTGCCAGACCCACCTGAGCTCTTTTTATCAGACCTCCTTCCTTGGAGCAGCTTGTGGGAGGGAGGGGATGTGTGGCAGAGGTATCTGGAATTTTCTCTGCAATCTGGGTTAGATTTCATGTTGACTTCCCTTGTAATTGAACCACAATTATTGACCTCTTTGACTTTTCCAGCTTCCTTGTTCAGGATATCCACTCGTCAGAAACAAACAACATCCAGTAGCTCAAACCCACGCCAACCAGTTCCCAGTTCCAGAGTTGTCTTCTCTTGGAGAGGGCGTGCAGCCCAGGCAGGCTCCTTATGTGTCCATCCCTTCGCTGAGTAGGTTCTGAGGACCTCCGTGCTCAGCACAGTGCTGGGTACTGGGACTTAGCCAAGCCGCACCCTGAGGCCTATTGAGTGCCAGGCAGTTCTGAGCACTGTGCCTGTGAGGCGGGTGCTGTCATTGTCTTCCTTTTACAGATAAAGAAACTTGAGGCAGAGGTCAAAGTCCAGGCAGTTGATTCCAGGGTCCTGTCCTCTTTCTGCCTGTCAGATAGACAGATGGGGCCTGAGGGGGTGCCCATGAGCTGCTGAAGAGAAGGAAGAGGACTGGGGAGAGGCCTTGGCCAGATCCAAAGTGAGGCAGTGACCCCGAGACCGTGGGAGCTAGAGGAGAGAACTCTTCTGCTAGCATGGGAACACATCCTTTCTTGAGTATACAGTGGAGTTTTCCAGAGGCTCCACAGTGGGTGACAACACATTGCATTGCTCCAGGAGGTGGAGTTGAGAACCTAGCTGTCTTCTGTGAAGCCAGGCAGCAGAAGTGTAAGACACTGCCACTCTTCCTGGTAAACTGCTTTAAAAAGCAAGGGTATTCCATAAAAACATTATTTATGCTAAGGTATGTGGGTTTTTTTTTTTTTAATGAATGAATAAATACTAAGTTTTTTTGTTTTCATTACCTGAAACAGACTAACATAAATAAATGCCATAGGGAACCTCCATAATTTTTTGTTATAAGCAGGTTCTGAGACCACAAGGTTTAAGAACATTTGTGTTTTAAAAAAACATAAACTGTCATAAAGGATTCCCACCAGCCACTGCTGTGTGGAGGAGTGAGAAGGCGAGCAGGAGGTTGGTTACTGGGTGTGTGAAATTTCTTCGCCTGGGATTATTTGTCCATAGATTTATTTTGGCATTGCTGGGGATTGAACCCAGGGCCTTATTATTATTATTATTATTATTTTCTTTTTGGTTTGTTTGTTTTGGGCGGTATCAGGGTTTATCTCAAGGCCTCAGAATTGCTAGGAAAGTGCTCTATACTTGAGCCACTCCCCCAGTCCTGGATTCTTTTCTTAAGTTGTAGCAACATACACATATAAAATTTCCTGTTGTTCCCAGTCTTTGAGTGTACAATTCACTAGTGGTAAGCGCCTTCTCCAGCCCCAGAACTCTTTTTTTATCTCGCAAAAACAAAACTCTGCCCATTAAAAACTTAACTCCCCAAGGGTCTGGATTTACTATGAAGGTTTGGGTGTGGTGTGCATACTTACCTGATCTCTCAAGCCTGTCACTGATCAGCAAGAAGGTAGCTTTTTTCTGGTTTTCTTTTCCTTCCAAATAGGCATCCATGTGCTTGCTCCATCAGAGGTTCCCCCTCCCAGGCTTTCCTTTCGTCACCTAACAGCCAAGAAACACAGTCACAGTCACACGGGTTCTCAGTGCGCCCTCAGGTGATTCTGTAACAGTGTGAACATCACAGAGTCACTTACACAATTACTGCATTATGGGTGATATAATCTAACTACCTCAGTCACATCTTTGGCCTTCTCAAACACTATTGCTGTGGCGTTTGACTGTAATATCACGTGGTGACACTGTGTAAAGATACTTCTGGGTTTTTTTTTTGTGTGTGTGTGTGGTGATTAGGGGTGTTTTGTAGTGTGGAGTTTGAACCCAGGGCCTTGCAACCTGTTAGGCAAGTGTTCTACCATGAACTACAGTCCAGCCCTGAAGTTAACTCTGGATCGCTCCTTCAGAAGAGAACCTGAGCAGTTCACCCAGCCAGTAGAAATAAAGTGTGCATTCCTTCTCATCTTTTCAGATCAGCTTAATTGGGGCGCTTCCTGGGGTTAGAATGTACAGTGAAAGGAAAAGGAATGTGAGTTGGGAGATGTAGCCCTCAGTAGGCAGGTGATCACAGAGAGCTGGGCACAGCCAGCTGGGTGGGTGGGTGGTGGTGGGGGGGCTCTTGCCAGAACCTGGAGAATGTCTGTGGGAGCCAAAGCCAGGTGAAACAGAGTGCATAGAACTAAACTTTTATTTCGTCTGCTAAGTGAGATAAGCAGAGGCCAGAAGAGGTTCTTGCCTAAGTAGACAAGGGGCTGGTCGAAAGGGAAGATTCTGTTTCTCCAGTGATCCATGCTAGCCCTAGAAGGAGGAGGCTTTGGCTTATAAGGGAGGAAGCTGAGACTGGGGGGAGTGGTCAATTGCTGTGCACAAGGTCATGTGGCTTATGAGGAGAGGAGCTAAAATCTGACCTGAGTTCCACTGATTTTTTTGGGGTTGGGGAGAGGGTTGGGAGGCAAACTGGGCTTTGAAGTCAGGGCTTCACATTTGTTGGGCAGGCACTCTACCACTGGAGCCTCACCTCCAGCTCTTGTTGCTCTGGTTATTTTAGAGATGGGGGGGAGTCTTGCTTTTTTTGCCCAGGTGAGCCTGGACTGCAATCCTACTATTTTAGGCATGCCCAGCTTTTCCCCCCATTGAGATGGGGTCTCACAAACTTTTTTGCTGGGATTGGCCTGGAATTGCGATCCTCTGGATCTAAGCCTCTCAAGTAGCTAGGATTACAGAAGTGAGTCACTGGTGCCTGGTAAAAGTATGTTGTTATTAAACACTCATGTTTTCAGTGAGGTTTTTTGTTTTTTGGTTTTTTTTTAGAAGTTTTGCATTTAGTTTCATTTTAATACTTTATATTCCTAATTTAATATTAATAAGCATTGTTTATTTTCCATCTTTGTTTTGCATTTTTTGTAACGTTAATTTTTTTGTAGTGCTGGGATCGAACCCAGGCCTTATGAAAGCTAGGCAAGCATTGTGTCACTGAGTCACATGCCATCCCTGTAATACTAATTTTAAATAAATCAAGTTTTAAATGAGGATAGTAACAAAGAAGTAAAACTTTTTTTTTTTTTTTTTTTTTTTTTTTGGGTGGTATTGGGCATTGAACTCTGGACCTCACACTGGCTAGGCAGGTGCTTTACTGCTTGATCGATGTCCCCAACCCTTTTTGCCCTTGGTTATTTTTTGAATAGTGTCTTGCTTTATGCCCAGGCCAGGCTGGGTCATCCTATTTATGCTTCTTGAGTAGCTAGGATAATAGACATGTACCACCATATCTAGCTTATTGGTTGAGATGGGGGTCTCACTAACTTTGCCCTGCTGACTTCAAACCACAATCCTCCCAGTCTCTACCCCCAGAGTGGTTAGGAGTACAGGTTTGAGCCACTATACCTGGCTTGGTAAACTTCCTGTGATAGGCTAAAAACAGGTCATTTGAACTTACCTGTAGTCACTTGTCCTCTTTCTCTTCATTTCTAGAGCCACTTAATCTTATTTCCAATTGCTTCATGGACACAGATAATTTCTACAGCACTTACTGTAGAATTTAAAATTTCATCCCATTTGGGTTTTGACACCAAACTTTGCAACAAAAGTTGAACATTGCCTTCCAGCCTGTGAGAGCTTCATTATTTTACTAATAGATGTGGGCTGGGGTGTAGATCGGGGTGCAGTGCCTAGCATGTGTGAGGTCCTGGGTTCCATCCCAGCAAGGCCAAACCAAACCCCCAAACTAGGTGTAGATCTTCAAAGACAATGGAGTTTAAAACAGTAATTCTAACCTCTGTTTCTTTTTTCCTCAATGCAGTTAACAAGCACAAGCCCTGGCTCGAGCCCACCTATCATGGAATAGTTACTGAGAATGACAATACAGTGCTGCTCGACCCTCCCCTCATCGCCATGGATAAAGATGCACCTCTGCATTTTGCAGGTACGGTGGGTACAGCCTGTTTTACTCATTCTTGGTGAGTGTGGGCTGGAAGGGAGATCTTACACACCTGTTGGGATTACTCTGGGCCTTGTGGAAAGTGAACAGCCAAGGGTCGCTTGTGGCTCCTGGGGAACACGTTCTCTTTTAATAGTCAGGACAACTGACAAAAACCTGTTCTGGCAGTTGAAAATATTTAACTTAATTATATCATCACACACCTGCCTTGATGCAGCTACACAGACATCTAGACCAGTTTAGCGTGCAGTTTACCTGAGGGTTGTGTTCAGGGCAGACTTGGTACAACTGAATCGGAGGACCTTAGTGCTCTACCTTACCTGTCCCCATGTGCCACAGCAGGTGCCCGGGATCCTCAGCTTCCTTGCATCTAGATTTCCATTGCCTACAAATACCTCTGAAAAAGTTGAGCAGTTTTTATGAAGAAATACTTTTGTATAGATTTACTTTTAAGAAGTTTTTAACTTGAGTTACTTTGTAAGATTGTAACCTATAGTTTTATAGAGACAAATCTTGTGGAAAGCTTTGCAGATTTTTGTCATGTAATTTTCTGTGTTGCTGACGATTACTGGCACTGTAGTCATGGTCACCTCCTGAATTTGTGGAGGGATGTGCCACTCCACCCTTTCTTGGCCTCAAAGTCAGAAGAGACAGCACAACATTACTATTGTTCTTTGTGTGTGTGGTACTGGGGTTTCGAACTCTGAGCCTCACTCTTGCTAGGCAGGCGCTCTACCACTTGAACTACTCCACAAGCCCGCAAAGTTAATTTTTAAAAAGCAATTTTCACGTGTTTCCTTTTTTCCCCAGATCAAGACTTCTTTTATTAAAGAGTGTTCTGTTTGCCTAGGGACAAATAAGAACATTAGGATGAACTCATACAGCTGTCATACAGTAATTTTCCTGGAGTAAATTGAGGAAAATGGGTATGGTATTGTTTCCGAAGCCCTATTTAAAAAGGAAATTCCTACTGCTTTCTGTTCATATGCCATGTCCCATCTCAGAAAAATACCCTGAGGACTGCTTGTACTTGGGATCAGTGGTGAGGACAGAGCTTCTCAATTAGTTTCAGAATTAGAAGTGGTTTGCAGATGGAAACCCAGTGAGATGTGCAGTAGAGGAAGTACTCCCTGCCAGGACACACGGGAACTCGACAAGTAGGCTGTGCTGTTGGTTTTTCACCCCAGGTTGAAAATCATTCTCAGCTGTGCACATTTAGTCTTGTCTCGCTGCACTTTTGGGTGCTGTGTGTAGCAGACATGTATACGTACACACCATGAGTACCATACTTTTTTGGTAATTACATAGAGTGCTTTCTTATGAGTGTGACACATAGTCTGTATCGATAGGTTTAATGGGGTTGTCTCGCATGTATTTTTGAGTGGATTTATGTACATTTCATGTATTTTAAGAACAGACTGCAAGCCAGGTGTGGTGGCACATGCCTGTGGTCCCAGAACTTGGGAGGCTGAGGTAGGGCGAGCATGAATTTGAGCCAACTTGAGCTACGTAGTGAGACCCTGTCTCAAAAATAGAGAAGAAACAACAGCAAAACAAAAAGAAAAATGACTGCCATCAAGAGTCCTGCATTTACTCTCTCGGGCCTTTCTTTGTGAAGTACCAGCTGTATACAGTCCTGTGTTTGTGGGTCCTGGTCCTATTAGGCTGTTAGTGGAACATTTGCTCATAAAGCATTTATAACAATGTTCCAGGCATTACTCCAGTTGCTTTGCAAATGTGAGTTTGTGTTTAATCCTTCAGAACCTTATCAGGTGAGTATGGGTTCTGCTCTTTCCATTAAGAAAGGAAGCAGAGGCCCAGGCAGTTCAGTTGCTGGCTCTGGGTCACATGGCTAGCGTGCTGCAAGGGCAGGGTTCCAGCCCATGATGCCATAGCTGCATTTGTAACTTCAGGAGGTTACGAAGGAAGTAGGAAGTGAAGCAGCATCACATGCTAACCTTGAAGAAAAACTCAAAGGAATAAAATGATCACTTTTTTCCTTTCCTAAAAAAGTTTAATTTTGTTATAATAGTTATCAAGTTTAATATGTTATGAATCAAATAATTCTTACAAAGTTTTGTTTTTTAGGATTCTCGGGTGTTTATGTACTGGGATTAAGAAAAAAAACAAAAAACTGCACAGAAAAGCAATTTAGACCCACGCCAGGGCATCTCGGTTGTGCTTGCCATAAAGGGACATAAGCCATTATTTTTCTTCTGGAGATTTTTGAGGAACATTTACTCTTACATATACTTTATATTTCTCCCCCCCTTTTTTTGGACATACAATTCACAGGCCATAAAAGTCACTCTTTTGAAAGTACAGTTCACTGGTTTTTGGAATACTGTATTCACATAGCTGTTCAAGCCACCATTTTGTTCCAGAACATCTTCATCACCCCATAAAGAAGCCCTTGCCCCAGTCCGCAGCCACCCCTTGGTCTCCCTCCGCTCAGCCTCTGGATTTTCTGGGCTGTGTATTTTCCCTAAGTTCAAGATGTGACCCTCTTTTCCTGGCATCTGTGTTGTAGGATCTGTCAATCTGTCCGTCCTTTTCGATGCTGGGTAGCATTCCAGTGTGGCTGTGCCACACCTTGTTGTCTACCCATCATTGATGGGCGTTTGGAGATCTACTTTTTGGCAGTAAGAGTCATATTGCTGTGAACACTTGTGTGCACATGTGTGTGCACAGATGCCCTTGCTTTTCTTGGGTATGTGTTCATGATAAGCATGGTGCTTGTTCTGCCCAAGATATGAGCAGCTGCATGGCACATAGAGGGGAGTACCTCCCCCACTACCCTGTCACCCTCCTGTCGCCCATCCAGCTACGTCACAGAACACTGCCCCTGAGGACAGCGGGAGTGTAGGTGTCAGAGCCAGCTGGTGCTTCTTGACCCTGGTTCTGCCGTTTATGGGCTGTGTGGCCTTGGGCAGATTGCTTAGCCTCTCTGCCCCAGTTTCATTATCTCTAGAAGTACAGTAATATCACAGACCTTAGGGGGTGTTAGCTTATTTGTATATGTGAAGAGCTTGAAACAACACCCAAGGCTAGAGGTATGGCTCAGCAGCAGAGTGCTTGCTTCCACACAGAAGGCCCTGGATGTCATCTCCAGCATGGTGAGGAGAAAAAACAGTAAAACAGTGCCTGATACATAGCACTACATGCTGTGTTTGCTTCTGGTATTGTTAACAAAGAAATCTTGTAATAAGGAATTTTCTCCGGGTGCCAGTGGCTCACCCCTGTAATCCCAGCTACTCAGGAGTCAGAGAGGTTCAGAGCCAGCCAGGCAAATACTTCATGAGAACCTATCTCGAAAAACCCTTCACAAAAAAGAGCTGGTGGAGTCACTCAAGTAGTAGTGGCTCAAGTAGTAGAACGCCTGCCTAGCAAGCATGAGGCCCTGAGCTCAAATCCCAGTACCACAAAGAAAAATAAATAAATAAATATGTACATACATAAATAGGTATTTTTACTTAACATTACATGAGAAATATTTTTGTCTTTTTACAAAAGTCTTCATGGTCTTCCATCTTCTCAGTTTCTTAGTATAATTTTTGCATAAGGCCGAGGCCAGATCTGGATCCTTACTTACTGGCTTCAGTTGATTTTGTTAATGATGCTTAGTTTACTTTAGCTGTGTGAGGAGGAAGACGATGTGAGTGGAAGTAGCTTACATTAGTGAGCTGACAGTGTGGCTACCTCTGCTGGTTCTTTCCAGCATTCTCATTTGCTGAACACTCTCAGTCTTCCCAAATGAGGACAGAGGCTCGGAGTATGTCTGCCCACCATGCAGAAGAGACTACCTTGTCCCCAGCACCTTGGTTGGTGCCTGACACCCATAGGTGCCCCCTGCATATTTTTGGAGTGAGTTTGCCCAGGTGACACAGCCCATGAAAGGTAGAGTTGCCTTTGGGGCCAGCCATCTGATGACAGCCTAGACCCAGGTTTGCTGCATTGGCTCTTGGGATGTTATCTTTCAGAGTCCCGAACATTCTGGCTCGTAGTCATAACCCTTTACAAGTTGCGTGTGGGTGTATGGCAAGCTTGCTTGTCAGAGCTCTAAAGCACTTGTATGTGTGGTGGTGGTGGGGTTTCATCACTGACACTTTCAGAAACTGTGTGGAACACACAGAGTCAAGATTAGTTTCTTAGGGTGATTAAGGGAATAAACTCTTGATATGTGTGAAATATTTTAGGAAATTTATTTATTGTAATAATGGGGTTCGAATTCGGGGCCTTGCGCTTGCTAGGCAGGTGCTCTGTCACTTGAGCCACTCTCCCCAGCCCTATTTTAGGAAATTGAAATAGTTCACTTTCTTATTTTGTTTTTTTCCTTAGTCTGTTAAAATCCTGAGTAGATGTGGGTAAGAAGGTATACTTCACATTTTTAATGGCGAGTTAAGGTGAGAAGCATGCACACAAACCATCATGTCACTGCTTTGACAGTGACCTGTTCTATTCATCTCAGAGGCCTGGGCACTGCTTACTCACCCCTCTCCTGTAAGCGCTTTCCTATGGTGCTGGCTCTATTCCAGCATAGCCTTTCTAGCCTTCCCAGGTGGAACGTGGCTTTTCTACAAGATTGATTGAACAATTATGATATGAATAGAGTCCAAAGGCAAGAAGGGAATTCTGTTTTCATTGACATCCACTAGAGCCTCTTTAGAAGATCCTATACTTTTCTCCCTACTCTGGGTCATTTGGGGGAGTCCTCCCCGGAAGACAGCTTGAAAGGCTTAACTGTGACCTTTACTTAACAACCCTACAGCACTGTCCACTTTGCTGTTTAAGCATACACAGCTGGGCTGACAGTGAACTGGACAAGTCAGGTTGACCCATGAGAAATTGCCATTTTTATATGTTGAAAGTACAAAATAATAGAAATTTCACCTGGTTAAACTGTAAACCTGCTACCAAAAGGCGAGAATCCACAAGTAGCTGTTCTCAGTGAGTATCAGGGGTTAACAGCTGTGGATTTGAATGAACTCATCTCGATCCAGTAGCCTTCTAGGATGGGTTGGAATTGGTGACGTAATTAAGTCCTAGGTTACCGTGCAGACCTTCTAGAGCATGTAAAAAGCGTCAGAGCTGGTCTCTGTTCTCAAAGCCACTGCCGATGTAGGTGGAAAGGCAAGCCACTATTGGCAGAGAGCTAAGCAGGGACATTGGGAAGCTTACAATTGAGTGGCAGGGAGGGGGGCAGAGGTGAGAGGGTTAAGGAGGCAGGCGCTTGAGCCCCCATGAAGGATGGGGGAATTTGCACAGATTGCAAAGGCCAGGAAAGGCAGGAGCCAGGCAGGGACTGGCTGGGCTTCCTTGTGGAAGGTGACTAAGTTAGCTTGTATGGCCTGGGGCCTGGAGGAGCGAAGGGTTGGAAGTTCACTGAGTACATGTTGTTCCCAAAATCAAGTTGAACAGGTGGGATGTCATCATACACATGGTTTTCCAACACTGGGTCCCTGAAACTCAGCGTAAGTACAGGTTCCTGTGCTTCAGTCTTCAGACCAGCCTGCAGGGTTTGAAGACCACACTCTGCCTGTTTCTGCCTGTTTCTTCCGGTCTGCAGATGGTCTGCACTGGGGCCATCTGGCAGCATGTATTAAAAATAGCTGTTACTGGACTCTGTCTCCAGAACTGCTAAGTCAGAAAAACCACATCTTATTTATTTATTTTTTTGGTGGGACTGGGGTTTGAACTCTGGGCTTCATGCTTGCTAAGTAAGGTGCTCTCCATTTGAGCTACTCCATATTTTAAACCACATTTTAAACAAGATTCTCAGACAGTTGTTGGCACACTCGGATTTGAGGAGCTACTGTAATCAGTGAGGAAGTGGTGGGAGCATACCCCGGAGAATGTATGTGGCTTTCGCTACTGTAAATTTAGGTGCAATACAGAGCCAGGCTGACGGTGCATGTCTGTAATACCAGCACTCAGGAGACAGACTAGAGAATTGCTGGTTTGAGGTCAGCCTTGGCTGCTTAGTGAGACCCTGTCTCAAAAAACCCCCCAAAATTAAAAAGGCTAGGGTGTTGAGTCTGTGGTAGAACACCTGTGCAAGACCCTGGAGTTGATACCCAGCACCAAAAGTGAAAAGAAGGTACCTTGACAGATTGTGCCAATTAGAGTCACACGGGATCCAGTCTCAGAAACTCGCCTTAAGCAGCAAGCAAGGAAACCAAAAGTCACCAAAACTGAGGGACAGCCTGGACCCCAGCTGATACATAGAACAGAGAGAAGTGGGTTAGAGAAGAAGGGACATTGTAGAGGACACCTGCTATAGATGTCTGTCTGTTTTTTTTTTTTTTTTTGAGATAGGGTCTCACTGTTTGCCTTGGACTACAGTCCTCCTATTTATGCTTCCTGAAGTAGTTGGGGTGGCAGGTACACCCCACCATGCCCAGCCTTTTCTGTTGAGATGGGGTCTTGAGAACTCTGCCCAGACTGGCTTCAAACTGCACCCTTCTGATCTCTGCCTCCTGAGTAGCTAGGGTTATCATTGCCCCGCTCCATCATCTTTTCTTAACAGCTCCTGGTCTCTTTGTCATTGGGTGCAGAGCAGTGGGTTCACAGTCCATTACCCACCTCCCTTTTTGAGCTAGGCTGAGCAGAAACTCCCTCCTTGAATTTGAGCAGAGTGACAAAGATGCTAGAATAGTTGTGGTTCCATTCCGTCTGTCCAGGTGGCTTGGCTGTGGTCCCTGCTTCCTGTTCTCTGAGCTGCCTTAATTTCTGCCAATTTCCAAGTCCCTTTCTCTGGCCCATGGAGCACATGAACACAGGATCCATCGATCGTTGGGAGAAGGGGAGAAAAGGAGTCAGTGACAGCTTTAAAGTATAAACAATTAGCTCCTGGGAGAGTGGAGTATTAGTGACAGAAATCGGTCTCTGGTTTGTGGAGGAAGATTATAAGTTGAGTGTAAATTTTAGAGACTGTAAGATGCTGTGGGACTAGCTAAGGAATTGTTAAGTTTTGTTGGCTGTGATAGTGTTATTGTGCTTATGTTAAACAAAGTCTTTGTTAGAGATACCCACTGAAGGGTTCATGGATGGAACAATGTAATGTCTGGGATTTGCTTTAAAAAGTCCCACACAGACAAGAAATTGCTAGGAATAAATGAGACAAACCTCAGAGCATGTCACCTTCCCCCAGGCCACGTGCTGACTCTGGGCCTCAGTTCTATAAATGGCTCCATCAGCCAGAAATTAGGGTCTGACCCAGGCTTTGCTTCTCCTTCTGCCTCCAGCTGGTCACCTTGCCCAAGGCTTTGCAGGCCTAGCAGAGCTGTGGGTGTGGAGGGCAAAGCCCAGGCTGCCCCTGCCACATCCAGCTGCCAGCTGGTGAGATTTCTGAATCATTACAGCCCTAGGGCTCAGCCAGATTAGCTGTTTACTAAGTACCTGTGGATTTGAGCCCTGATCCTGTTGGTGGAGCCCATTGCAGTAGCAGCTGAAGCAATGAGTCAGTGGGGACTTGCAGAAAAGATAGTTACGTGTCTGCCATTCTTATAAATGGATTAGATCCAGTCTTTTAGAGAACAGCCTGGAAATACATAATGAGTTTTCAAGTAATTTATATTCTTATATTTGATCATTTTACTTTTGAGACACTATTCCAAGATCTTCCCCTTGACGCACTGTAGTATATAGATAAGTGCTCAGAGTTGCAACACTAATTCCCACTCCTCCCTCCACACCTTCCGTCGCCTGTCATTTGCAGGTCAGAAGGCCACTTCATGCTTAGTTTCTCACTTGTAATTCAACAGTCTTGGCCTTGCTATTAAAATGCCTCCCAAACCTGCCCATTTTTCTCCCTGGGTCTGGCCTTCACATCTCTTTGACCTCTGATAGACTTGTTTTCAGCATGGCACTCAGGTGCAAATAAAACACGTGTTTCCTCTGTTCTTATAGGATTCCTAGAGGCCTGACACAGTATAGCTTCAGGATACTTGTCCTTCTGGAACCTCGTCACCTGTTTTCCGCCTCGCTCAGCAGCTAAGCCGCACAGGTCTCCTCATCTTGTCACAGTCCTTTGTCTGAATTCCTCCCAGATAGTTACCTGACTTGCTCCCCTAGTTTCCTGTGGTCTCCACTCAGACATTTCCTCACTAGTGAAGTCTTCCTTGAATCCCACCATCTAAAGTTACATTCTCCACACTCCAGGGCCCTTTCCCTGCACCCTAGCCTGATGTCTCAAAAGAAAGATACAGAGAGTTTGCAACAGTCGGCAGAGACTTCCATGCCTATTGCCAGGTGTGGTAGTATACACTTGTAGTCCTAGCTACTCCAGAAGCTGAGGCAGGAGGATCACTTGAGTACAGGAGTTTGAGGCCAGCCTGGACAACATAGAAAGACCCTCATCTCATAAAAACAACAACAACAGACAAACCCACATTCCTCAAGTGGTGTCTTTAACTCTTGCTTAGCACTACATCAAGGCAGTGCTTAGGTGCTTCTTCCTAGGAGTCTTGATGTGCACCTACCAGAGGCCTAGTGGCCTTGTCAGCAAAGCACAGAGCAGCCACTGTCAGGAGCCAGCTGCCTCGCCATGTGCTCTTCAGAAAAATGAGCTCCACGTCAGAAACTGAGACAGTGGTTTCTCTGAATGAAAGCTGGGCAACTGCATTCCGTTATTGTTTTATGCAGTACTAACATGTGCCCAAAGCGTAGTCATTACAGGGAATGAGCATCTCCCGGAAGAGGTTGGTATCACATGTGCCCAGCAGTTGTATCCATAAAGGGCTCCAGAGGGAATGTTGCAGGCTCTGCTATCCACAGGGTGTCTTCTGCAGTGATGTAACCCTTGTCATCACTGTGAAAGCAGCCAGATATACCTGACCAGTGAGCGTGCCTGTAGTCTAGTACATTGCTATTTATGAAGACTGAGTTTAATGTAATTTTCTCATGCTATGAAATGCTATTTAGAAAGGTAAAATCCAGCCGGGTGTGGTGTCCCACATCTGTCATCCCAGCACTCTGGAGGCTGAGGCTGAGTCAGGAAGAGCTCCAATTCCAGGCCACTCCAGTTTGAGGTCAGTCTGGGGCTCAGAGTGAGACCCTGCCTCAACAACAAAAAAAAAGGCTTGATGGAGCCCTTTAAAAGGGCGTTTTAAAACCATTCTTGGCATGTGAGCATTAAAAACAGGGACAGAAATCATCATCTTGCAGAGCCCCAATCCAGAGCAAGGGTGCTGTAGAACCTGCTGTAGTAACAGGCTGTTCTGAGTCAGCGTCAGCACCCAGAGTCACAGCCACACATGCCCATGTGACTGAGGAACTGTGTGTTTAACATCACTTCATGTTAATGTGAGTTTAGTTTAACTTTCACCCCTATGTGGCTAGTGGGTACCATGGCGAGCAGCACAGATCCACAGAGGGCTTGTGCTCGTGTATCAGGAAGCACCGGTAGAAATACCTATCATAGCATTGTTCACAAACAGCAGAAAACACAGAACGATGGCACATATATCCACACAAAGGAAAATGATGCAGTAGCAGTGAAGTTTGTTGAGTGTTTTCTTTATGCTGGGCAATGTTTTAAGCACTTTACAGACTTTAGCTCACAGATTCTCACCACTAGGTAGTGAAAATGCATAAGCCATAGTGGCATACATTAGCAAGGATACACATGAGGTGGCGTGAAAAAGGAAGTCACAAAAACTGCCTGTTGGTCTGGGGCATGGCTCAGGTGGTAGAGTGCCTGCCAAGCAAGTGTGACGTTCTGAGTTCAGACCCCAGTACTGCCAAAACAAAAAAAAAAACACTGCCTATCATGTAATGCCGTTTTAAAAACCTTAAAGGCAAGCAAAATGAATTATTCAGGGGAAATACATAAAATCTTTAAAAAGCAGTAGTGTTCAAGCAGTGCTAACCTGTGGAGGAGAGGCGGTTGCATGAATGTCTCTGAAGGTTGGGTACTCGACCTGGTCTTGTCTCTTCTCCTCTCTAGCAGGTTTATGTCCACTTAATGAACAGCGCTTCTACAGACAAAAAGAATGCACTGGAGCACCACTACAGAGATCTGGTTTCTACTCACATGGAAGCACAAGTTCAGTTAACAGGGGTTTATATTTGTTGTCTTGGTTGGGTACTTTAGATTAGAAAACACCGTTACCATTAAAAACAAAGGGTTAAAACTTTTTGCTCCAAATTTTTGTATCATTAAATCTAATGATGAGTTGCATGTTACTAGAATATAGCTGAAAGAACTTAGCTTAAAAATGAAAACACATAGGCTTATTTATCAATCATCATCATTTATCATTTATCGTTCATTAAAGGGAGAATCCTAATGACACCTGTAGGTGTTAGGAACCCTAATCGCAGTATTTCACCCCTAGCTAGTATAATTTTAAAATCGTGCAGTGGTTCATGGTAAGTGGGATTCCAAGTGACATTTTGTTACTAAGGATGGATTGTGCTGTAGCAATGCTAGTAGCTGAGTGTATTGTTGAGTTACATGTGAAGCCTTTCTTTGTAATATGTGCATCTTTGACTTATTTCCTTATTGTGTCATCTTCCTTTCTCGTGAATTACTGACACGGGTTTATCTTTTCTCCCTTTAGAGAGTGTTGAGGTGACAGTCACCAAAGAAGGTGATCAAGGGTTCTTTATCTCCCTCTTATGAATATTAACCCACTAACTTGTTTATAAAATTGGGAATCAGCCCGTAAACAGAAGCAACTGTCATGCTCTTTTACCCCTATTTATTCTCCTACTTTGTTTCTCTTTTTTTTTTTTTTAATGTATCGATGGAAATTGTATGTAATGAGATCCTTGGTTAGAAATATCTAGAAATCAGACATCCATTTGAACTACATGTATAATGCTGTATGTTTTGTTTAATTGAACCTCAGAGGTTTGCTTTGTAATGATTTCTTTACTCGTTGGAATTGTGGAAGAGTTCAGTCTTATTTTTATGTGAAATATGTTTTGCGAAGTTTCATTCATACATCAAAATACTTATACTTGTTCTCCCATGGGCAAGAATGGAAACATGGGATTTTAAACTCCTATTTAAGCTTCTATGCCAACTTAGCTTTAGCCAAGTTCCCAGGCCGGGGTCTCTTCAGGTTTGATAGGGGAAAGCCTAGCAAATCCCTCCCGTGGCAGCTGGGTGGTGGCTGTTGAAATGGATGCCTGAGAAGTTGGTATTTCTACCTCATTTAGCAGTTTGTTTTGATTCCCTAATTTTAGCCAGGCTCATTGCACAGGAAGACTTGATTCTTTTTCTTGACAGAATGTCTGTAATTATGGTGCTGGTCCTATATCTCATGCTTCTTCCTCTCTCAACACTTAACTGCATTTTATCCTCTCTCTGGTCCATACCCAAAGAACTGCCCATCCCTGGGGTGCCCAGGGCAGCCTGGCGTGCTCAAGACATTGGCTGTTGGCTAATGAGACTCCTTTGACCCTCGAGCGGCCTAAGTGCTCCTGTGGAATGCCTGTCTGTGTCTTCTCTCTCTCTTTTGTATTCCTGCATGAATGGATGCAAAGTAAATGAGTTGCTTGGAAAGCCCGAATCCGCTTCTCTTACTAAAGCCCTAGAACTCACCCGTGTGAAAGCACAGTGCCCCTGCTTTGTCCACGGGCCCTCCAACCCTCTGGCTGCCCAGTTGTTGTCGTTTTTTTTCTTGGTGGGAGGAGGGCATGTGTGGAAGGTTTGCCTGGTAGACCTTGTAACCTGCTTTGCTTTGACTCCGCAGGTGAGATTTGTGGCTTTAAAATTCATGGGCAGAATGTCCCCTTTGAGGCAGTGGTAGTGGATAAGTCCACGGGTGAGGGAGTGATTCGTTCAACGGAGAAACTGGACTGTGAGCTGCAGAAAGACTACACGTTCACCATCCAGGCCTACGACTGTGGGAAGGGGCCCGATGGCACCAGCGTGAAGAAATCTCACAAGTAAGCAAGCTGGGCAGAGAGTGAAAATAACCTACTGAGTAAATGTGTTTGCATATGAAGGAAACAGTGGTCATCGCCCCAGCTGAGATTCTCGTGTTTTGAATTTGGCTATAGAACAGGATCATAAGGTATTTGAGGGCAGGAACTGAGTCTGTGTGTTCACTTGCGGGTGCAGCCCCTGGCAAGATACCTGCGTGCCATAGGCTTTGAAAAATAAATGAATAATTTTATCTTACCAGTAAGGAAACAAACATTCAGAAAGCCCACTTTTTCCTGAGGAAGATTGTTTTGCTGTTATGTTTTCCCGTAAATTCTGTAGGTGTGGGATAACTAGCCCTGGGAAGGAATAGAGCAGACCTGTGTGTGGCCATTTGCCCCTGCCAGCTGAGAACTGCAGTATAGCAGAGGACATGACAGGTTTAGAATTCCACCCTTTCTCTTCTTGCTAACCCTTCACCATCAGGCAAATGTAATGTTGCTGAGCCTCAGTTTCTCCTTACTACAACTCCTGAGAAAGAGGGGTATGGGGCAACATGCGGTCGTATACCCACTGTGAAGGCATGCAGATGCGAGGCCTTGGTGTGTGGAGGCTTTGTGAACAGTGGAGTATCATATGCCAGGGAATCACTCCTTATTTATTTATTTAGGTGGTATTGGGGTTTGAACTCAGGGCTTCATGCTTTCTAGGCAAGAACTCTACCACTTGAGCCTCTCTGCCAGCCCTTTTTGAGTTGGATATTTTCAAAATAGTCTTGCAGACTATTTGCCCGGGTTGACTTCGAACTGTGATCCTCCTGATCGCTGCATCCTGAGTAGCTAGGATTCCAAGAGTGAGCCACTGGCACCTAGCTCACTCCTCATTGTTTACACATGTGAAAATACTTTTTCCTTTGAAAGGATGTGTTTGTTTGCATGGCACTGTGTATGAACCCAGGGCCTTGTGCATGCCTCCTACTGAGCTATACCTCCCACCCAAAAGCATTATACTTTTTTTTTTTTTTTTTGGCAGTACTGGAGTTTGAACTCAGAGCCTAGACTTTGAGCCACTCCACCAGCCCTTTTGTGTGAAGGGTTTTTTCGAGGTAGGGTCTCACAAACTATTGCCCAGGCTGTCTTCAAAAACTGTGATCCTCCTTATCTCTGCCTTCTGAGCAGCTAGGATTACAGGTGTGAGCTACCGGTGCCCAGCAAAAGATCACATTTTGATCAGAGACTTTGTTGACCCAGAAACATTTCCTGACCAATAGCTCTTGAAAGCTACAGTTTTCTTTATTTGGAGCTTGGTCTGATGGCACCTGGTGCCTTGTTGGTAACCAAGCTGAGGACATGGAAAGTGGGCAGCCAGGGGTTACCTTCTGAACTTACTCATTTGTGGAGTTGGTACTGAATCCAGAGGTGGGCTGCTCATGCCTCTCCCCCTCCTTAGAAGTAGGACAGAATTTGTTTTACTTCTTATAATCATACTTTCTCTATTTCTTATCACTTCTCCTTTGGTTCTTATTTCCCCCTAGATTTTGCATTAACATATCTTTTACTTTACAATCAGAGAGCAAACAGATGTCTGATACAGTTTATTTCCCTTCTTCATGTCCTGTCCCATGTGTCAAAGAAAATACCAAGTCTCTTATTACATTACTGATTTTTAAAAATCAGCTGCCTTGGGCAGGGATGTGGTTCAAGTGGTATACTTACGTAGCATGCGGGAAGCCCTGAATTCAAATTTCAATACCTCTTCCCCAAAAAATTCCTTTCTTTTTTTCTTTTTTTTTTGGTGGGACTGGAGTTTGAACTCAGGGCTTTGCTAAGTAGGTGCTCTGCTGCTTGAGCCACACCATTTTGCTCTGGTTATTTTGGAGATGGGGTCTCACGAACTGTTTTCCTGGGCTGGCCTCAAACTGCAATCCTCCTGATCTCAGTCTCTCAACTAGCTAAGATTACAGGTGTGAGCCATCAGCTGGCTTTAAAAGAAAAATCCTTTCAGGAATACAAATAGGTAAAGAAACTGTCAAAATATCCCTATTTGCAGACGACATGATCCTATACCTTAAAGACCCAAAAAACTCTACTCAGAAGCTTCTAGACATCATCAATAGCTATAGCAAGGTAGCAGGATATAAAATCAACATAGAAAAATCATTAGCATTTCTATACACTAACAATGAGCAAACGGAAAAAGAATGTATAAAAACAATTCCATTTACAATAGCCTCAAAAAAAATCAAATACCTAGGTGTAAACCTAACAAAAGATGTGAAAGACCTCTACAAGGAAAACTATACACTTCTGAAGAAAGAGATTGAGGAAGACTATAGAAAGTGGAGAGATCTCCCATGCTCATGGATTGGTAGAATCAACATAGTAAAAATGTCGATACTCCCAAAAGTAATCTACATGTTTAATGCAATTCCCATCAAAATTCCAATGACATTCATCAAAGAGATTGAAAAATCTACTGTTAAATTTATATGGAAACAAGAGGCCACGAATAGCCAAGGCAATACTGTCAAAAGAACAATGCAGGAGGTATCACAATACCTGACTTCAAACTATATTAAAAACAAGCAATAATAATAAAACAGCATGGTACTGCACAAAAACAGACATGAAGACCAGTGGAACAGAATAGAGGATCCAGATATGAAGCCACACAACTATAAGCACCTTATCTTTGACAAAGGAGCTAAAAATATACGATGGAGAAATAGCAGCCTCTTCAACAAAAACTGCTGGGAAAACTGGTTAGCAGTCTGCAAAAAACTGAAACTAGATCCATGTATATCACCCTATACCAAGATTAACTCAAAATGGATCAAGGATCTTAATATCAGACCCCAAACTCTTAAGTTGATACAAGAAAGAGTAGGAAATACTCTGGAGTTAGTAGGTATAGGTAAGAACTTTCTCAATGAAACCCAGCAGCACAGCAAACTAAGAGATAGCATAGATAAATGGGACCTCATAAACTAAAAAGCTTCTGTTCATCAAAAGAAATGGTCTCTAAACTGAAGAGAACACCCACAGAGTGGGAGAAAATATTTGCCAATTATACATCAGACAAAGGACTGATAACCAGAATATACAGGGAACTTAACAAACTAAATTCTCCCAAAACTAATGAACAATAAAGAAATGGGCATGTGAACTAAACAGAACTTTCTCAAAAGAAGAAATTCAAATGGCCAGAAAACACATGAAAAAATGCTCACCATCTCTAGCAATAAAGAAATGCAAATTAAAAGCACACTAAGATTCCACCTCACCCCTGTTAGAATAGCCATCATCAGCAACACCACCAACAACAGGTGTTGGCGAGGATGCGGGGAAAAAAGGAACCCTCTTACACTGTTGGTGGGAATGTAGACTAGTACAACCACTCTGGAAAAAAATTTGGAGGCTACTTAAAAAGCTGGACATCGATCTACCATTTGATCCAGCAATACCACTCTTGGGGATATACCCAAAAGACTGTTACTCCAGAGGCACCTGCACATCCATGTTTATTGCGGCACTATTCACAATAGCCAAGTTATGGAAACAGCCAAGATGCCCCAGCACTGACGAATGGATTAAGAAAATGTGGTATCTATACACAATGGAATTTTATGCAGCCATGAAGAAGAACGAAATGTTATCATTCGCTGGTAAATGGATGGAATTGGAGAACATCATCTGAGTGAGGTTAGCCTGGCTCAAAAGACCAAAAATCGTATGTTCTCCCTCATATGTGGACATTAGATCAAGGGCAAACACAACAAGGGATTGGACTATGAGCACATGATAAAAGCGAGAGCACACAAGGGAGGGTGAGGATAGGTAAGACACCTAAAAACTAGCTAGCATTTGTTGCCCTTAATGCAGAGAAACTAAAGCAGATACCTTAAAGCAACTGAGGCCAATAGGAAAAGGGGAACCAGGAACTAGAGAAAAGGTGAGATTAAAAAGAATTAACCTAGAAGGTAACACCCATGCACAGGAAATCAATGTGAGTCAATGCCCTGTATAGCTATCCTTATCTCAACCAGCAAAACCCTTGTTCCTTCCTATTATTGCTTATACTCTCTACAACAAAATTAGAGATAAGGGCAAAATAGTTTCTGCTGGGTATTGAGGGGGGAGCGGGAGGGGGTGGAGTGGTGGTAAGGGAGGGGGTGGGGCAGGGGGAGAAATGAACCAAGCTTGTATGCACATATGAATAATAAAGAAAAATGAAAAAAAAAAAAAAAAAAGAAAAATCCTTTCAAATAAAAATTGGCAATCTTGTTTTTAGGACGTGGGAGAATCAACCCAAATTTCTGTTGGAACTTTTTTGAAACAGGATCTCACTGTACTGCCCAGCCTAGCCTGGAACCCCAGGTAGCCCAAACTGGCCTCAAACTTGATCCTCCTGCTTCCACCTCCCCAGTGCTGGGATTATAGGCCTGTACCAATATGCTGGCCCTATTTTAACTTTCTGTGGTCTACATGCTAAATTCAAAATAATGAAGTTTGGTTTATTTTTTGTCCTCATCATTTGAATTTTGGGAAACAAGGTACCAGAAAAAAAAAATTAGAACTAGGGCAGAATTAGTATCCTTTGGTTAAAAAAAAAATAAGAAAAACTCCTCCAAAACAGCTTTTTTCCCTTTGTCCAGAGCAACTGTCCATATCCAGGTGAATGATGTGAACGAATATGCCCCTGTGTTCAAGGAGAAGTCCTACAAAGCGACAGTCGTGGAGGGGACCAGCATAGCAGCATTCTGAGGGTGGAGGCCTTGGACGCAGACTGCTCCCCTCAGTTCAGCCAGATCTGCAGCTATGAGATTGTCACTCCAGATGTTCCCTTCACCGTGGACAAAGACGGTAAGGACACAGGAGCCTATTTCCTTCAGAGGGGAGAGCAGCCTCCAGTGACATGACTCTTTTTTACCCTGTTGTCTTTGAACCTACATTTATCTTTTTCATCAGAGCATCAGGGACGCTCACAGGTTGACTGAAGACCTGCCTTGGAGGGTGCAGTTCACATTTGAGTTTTCACCCCAATTTAACAGCTTCTCTCCGGAACCCAGAGGTCTGAGTCCTTCTGGGCTCCCCTCTTTTTCCCTTGCCACCCAAATCAAATACAGACCTCCACAAGCATGCTTTTATTTCCTGTCTTCTCACTTTTCACCCCTATGCATCTGAATGATGTGGACCTTTACTTAGTCTTCTTTTCCATTCAGTTAGAACCTTTACCTCCTTGGTTTTTATTACCCATGTTGGGAAATGGAATCCAGGATCTCATGCATGTTGGCAACTGCTACCACTGAGCTACATCCTCAGCCCTTCTGCCTATCCTGACAATGAGGTGATATCTTTACTAATTTGCCAGCCTCTTCATCCTTAGTAACTAACAGAAGAACGCTAGGGTCAATTTTTCTCTAATGTGTCTCCATTGTTAATGTCAGCACAGAATTACAGGTGTGGTAGATAACTTCATAGATACGTGCATTCATGTTCAAAAAGCAGCCTTCTTCTGAGGAAGAGGAGCAGATCTCTCTCGCTCTCTCTCTCTCTTTTTGGTGGTAGGGATTGAGACCAGGGCCTTGTCTCACACATGCTAAAGGCTCTGCTGAGCCACATCCCCAGTTCAATCCCAACTTTTTCTTTAAGGAAGTAAATATTTTAGCAGAAGATCTTTGTATTTAATAGTTGAGGTATTTGAATTATTTTTCTTTTAAAATTCTCTTACATGTAAAAATTATTAAATGTTAAAATTACTGTAAAGCATGGGAATAATGGGGTGGTCCTGGCCCATCTTTAAATGCTGTTGGGTTGCGGTCGCTGATGTGTCCCCAGGCTCAGGTGGATGGCTGGTGTGAAGGGTCTGAGTAGTCTCTACAGGATCAGCACAATGCATTTTGCAGTCAGCCTAGGACGTCAGAAGTGAAGAGGGTCCTCACTGTTGTCCCTTCTCTGCCAGGTTAATAAAAAACACAGAGAGCTCAACTGGGAAAGAGCACGATACAAAGCTGACCATCACCGCCTATTGACTGTGGGAAGAAGAGGGCCACGGAAGATGTCCTTGTGAAGATCAGTGTCAAGCCTGCCTGCACCCCTGGGTGGCAAGGTGAGCTTAACAGCCTCCTCAGCTCCCATGTCTGTCCCGAAAGCCTGGACACCACAGAAACCTAAACTGTGTGTTCCTCTCCCCACCTATTGCCAACTCATGGGCCAACACAGGCTGGAGCAATAGGATTGAGTATGAGCCCGGCACGGGAGCTTTGGTGTCTTCCCCAAACATCCACCTGGAGACATGTGACGAGCCGGTCACATCAGTGCAGGCCACAGTGGTAGCTGGAGACCAGCCACATAGGAAAAGGCTGTGACCGAGACACCTACTCAGGAAATCCCTTCACCGGCTTCTGTGGTAAGGAGGCCTGGCATCCCGACGCCTGCCAGTCTTTGGGGAAGACGAGACCTTAGAGCTGGAAATACTTGTTCTTTGTTGTGTGTGTAATTATCACACCAAATTACACCATGAAGAAATTAGGAACGGGCCTCATGTCCATGGCGACAGTTAAGTAACGTTAGAGTGGTCTATGCCGTGAATTGCCCTGTAGGCATTTAAATTACGCTATAGAAACACACTGAAGAGAATGTATGTAATGTGTCCACGGGTGGACATGTTCAGACTCCATGCTCTGAAGTGGATTACTGGCTCTCTTTTCATCCTTGATGAACTTTTAGGAAGTACATAAACCCCTGAAATTTACTCAGAAGTGTGTGGTGTGTGCACGTGTGTGTGCACGTTTGAAGCACCGCTGATTTGAAGAAGGAAACATACATTGAAAGTCAGCCAAATAAGGAGCTGAGTGACTGTTGTGTGTCTGCCTGGGAGGCTGAGGTAGGAAGATCACTTGAGTTCAGGAGCTTGGGGCCAGCCAGAGCTATGACTGATGCCTATAATCCCAGCTACTCAGGGGCAGAGTGGGGAGGTTCATAGTTGAGGCCAACTGGGGCTAAAGTTTAGTGAAATCCTATCTTAACAAATAAGCTGAGCATGGTGGTTCACATCTGTAATTCAGCTGTGCCAGGAGGCATACCTTGAGTGGTTAAAAAAAAATAAGAAATGCAACAACTTTTATATGAAATGAGATGTTCAGTTAAGATGACAAAAAATAAGGTAACGCAATAGCTTTTGGCAAATATATGGAGCAGAAAAATCAATGCTAAGGATACACTAAGCTGGGGCTCAGCGACTTCACACATCATCAACCTTGTGGGGACATTGAGAGACCGAGTCATTGGGAACCAGCCAGTGGTGAGGCTCGCTCTCTCCACCATCAGATATGGACACTTTGGGTTTAATCTAAATGAAGAGATCAGGTGAGGATTCTGTCCTGTAGCTGCTGGAGGAGAATGCTGTACGGGCTGATGATGAAATCCAGGATCTCAAGTGGCCTGTTTATAATTGGCAGGGTCTTTTGTGTTTTGAGATTGCTTTGTAACAGTTTTTTTTGGTTTTTTTTGGTGGTTGTACTGGGTTTGACTCAGGGCCCCGAGCTGCTGGGCAGGGAGGCCATGTCTCCCTCCCCTTTTGCTTTGGTTACTTTTGAAATAGGGTCTCAAGTTTATGCCCAGGCTGACCTGGACTGTGATCTTCCTATTTAAATTTGTCACGTAGCTGGCATGACAATTGCGTGCCCACTGTACCCCACTTTGTGTTTTTGTTTTGAATTGGTTGAGATGGTCTTAGACTTTTTTGCCTTGGCCTGGCTCAACCACAATCCTCCCAATCTTTGCCTCCCAGGTAGCTAGTATAGGCGGGGCTGCCACATCGGTGGCCTTCAGAACAGCTTTTTTAGGGAATGTTTTCCTAAACTGACTTTCCTTTTTTCACACTGTCCCAATAAACAGCCATTTAGATTTAGGCAACGTTTTCTTATATATTAAAAAATGTTAGATGGCAAATAAACAAAAGGAAAAAATTCTACAGTGTTCTGGCCATCCAGTGATGAGTATATTATACAAGTACGTGATTCTTGAGTCCACAGATTACAAGTCAGGTATGTAAGTTAGGAAGTGAGAACATTTTCCATTTTTAAATTGTGCTTACAAGTATAAATATAAGACTGACTATAAGACTGACTTTTTGGACTGGAGGCATAGCTCACTGGTATATTATTTACCAGGCCTGTGTAAAGCCATGGTTTGATCCTCAGTACTGCCAAGAAAAGAAAGAAAGAAAAACATTCTTCTCTGATAATACCACTCTTACGGTGTTAAACGAATGTTTTCCCAGCAGAACAGCTGAAAGTTAGGAAGAACAGAGAGAATTAGTAGTTAAATCTGGCCTATGACATACCACATGCCAAGTACTTTCATGTGCTTTACCTTTACCGACAGGTCTGTGGTGTAGCTGGGATTGACTTGTTTTTACAAGGGGATAAGTAAGGTTACGGTATGCAAGTACCTTGCCAAAGGACGCATGGTAGAGCATAGCAGAGCTGGGATTGGACCGAGAGCTTTCTTTACTCTGAAGACCAGGCTGGTGTACTGGAGTCAGGCTGCCCCCAGGACTAGAAAAGTCAAGAACAACAACTAAGTAGGGAGAGCTTGCAAAAATTTTTTTGCTGGATAAGTTTAAAAGAAAATTTGGAGGCTGGAGGTACAGCTTAGTGGTAGAGCATGCATGAGGCCCTGGGTTTAATCCCTAATGCCAAAAAGAAAAAAGAAAATTTGACCTTGATGTTAGTAAGACAGTTGTGAAATTTTTTTCCCTATTCTTTAATTTAAACTAGGGGCATAATCTCGGGGGCACGGGTGCTCATGGAGAGGTTTATAAGAGGCTGTTTAGGAACAGCTTCTAAGTCCTCCTGGAGATGAGTTAAAAAAGTTACAGAGTATGTATAGTGAACTCTTATGCAAGCATTTAAAATTATTCTGTAGAAGAATTCTGAAGAGTGTATGTATATATTATATATGGACATGCCAGGACTCCAGTCGAGTTAAAAAAAAAATCCGTCGGGCGCCTGTAATCCTAGCTACTCAGGAGGCAGAGATCAGGAGGTAGAGGTTCTAAGCCAGCTTGGGCAAATAGTTCATGAGATCCTTTCTTGAAAAAAAACCTTCACAAAAAAGGGCTGGTGGAGTGGCTCAAGATGTAGGTCCTGAGTTCAAACCCAGCACTGAAAAAAAAAAGAAAAATCCACCGTGATGTTCATAAAAGAGGACTTGGGGGTGTTAATATCCAAATGGCACGTACTCAGGTGAGAGGATAAGAAACACTCCACTATTGTGCATCTCCTCTCATTTAAAAAAGCATCCACAGTTATCACTCATTTTGTTTTAAAATCCCTTTGAGGGAAAGTAAACTATAACTAGCAAATGGTAAACCTTAAGGTAAGCTTGTGCCTCAGCGTGGTTGTGAACCTCGTAACTTTCTATTCCTCGTGGAACTGACATTGGGCGTGCTGTGGTTTTAGGGGCCGCTGCTGGCACTGCTGAGCTGCTTCCTTCCCCCAGCAGCAACTTAAACTGGACCCTCGGCCTCCCCACTGACAACGGCCACGACAGTGACCAGGTCTTTGAGTTCAATGGCACTCAGGCAGTGAGGATCCCAGATGGCATAGTGTCCCTCAACCCCAAAGAGCCCTTCACAATCTCCCTGTGGATGCGGCATGGGCCTTTCGGCAGGAAGAAGGAGACCATCCTCTGCAGTTCAGACAAGACAGGTCGGTCACCCTTCGGTATGCAAGGTTGTTCTTCAGTGTCTTGGGGTAGTGGCCAGAGGCAGGTACCTCTGCTTTCCCCAAAACCCCCCAGGGGCTCGTATTTGTTCTGGGACACTGTCCTCAAGAGACGTGGCCTTCAGGAA